GATTTTAGAGACATCCCTGAGGTGGGAGCAACAGGACTTGATGACTAATTTGAAGCGGGTGTTTGAGGAGAAAGGAGGAATTGAAGATGACTGAGGTTTCTAGTTTGGAAAACTGAGTACTGGTGATGTCACTAACTGAAAGCAGAAGGGAAGGAAGGAAATCTATGTGAGGCCTACCAGGAGCTTTACACGTGTTATTTCATTTAATCCTAAACAAACCCATAAGGAAAGATTAAGATCCCCATTTTATAAATAAGAAAATTGAGGTTCAAGAGGTTAAGTAACTTGCCCAAGGTCATACAAATGGTAAATAAAAGAGCTGGAATGTGAAATAAGGCCTTACTCCAAAGCCCATATCTTTCCATGATAGTATTCTATTGCTGATAATCATTTTAGTTTGGAAAATATAGGACTGAAGCTCATGGGAAAGATAAAGCCAACAACTTGGACTTCTCAGAAGAGGAATGGTACAGAATGAAGAGTGAATTAAAGCCTTAAAATATTGGAATAAAGGACTTGAGCAACACTGTCCAATGAAATTTTCTCTAGTTATGGAAATGCTTTATACTTATACTATCAAATACAGTAGCCATTAGCCCATGTGGCTATTAAGCACTTGAAATGTGGCTGATATGATCAAGGAACTCAATTTTTCATTCTCATTTTAATTAATTAATTTACAATTAACCATATGTGACTAGTGACTACCATATTGGATAGTTTAGGACTAGAGGACCCAACCAGACATGGAGAAAGAAGGTCCATTAGCAGGGAGGCCTTGTGTTACCCCTGAAAAATCACTAGGTATCTAATCATCTGCCTATCTGTGGATAGGATTGGTCCCAAGATTGGGGCCCACAATTCGGAAGGGTTTTCTTCCTAGTATAGACAAGAAAGTAATCTTACCAAGTCTTATTTTTGGGAGGAGAGTAAATACAGTACTCCACTTCCTTTCTTATATGAGATAAAAATCACAATTATTTTCTTTGTATTTACATTTTTCTGTATAGAGTGTTATTTAAGAGCTCAAGCTCCAGGCAAATGTCAGGGTTCAAATCCCAGGTCTGCCACTGAAAGTGTTGTGCCTTGAGTTAATTACTTCACATTCTCAAACTTCATTTTCACTACCTATAAAATAGGGATAACAATAATGCCTTACTCATAGGGTAGTTGTAAAGATGGAGTTAAACAACCCATGTAAAATGCTTAGCCAGTATCTGGCACATGCTAAGCACTCAGTAAAAGTTAGCTATTCTGTAACCAGTACCTTGTGATGAGTTTGTACTTTGCAGCTCTGTATTTTGACATTTACTCAACTCTATTTTTGCATAAGTAAAGGTATTCTTTCAGATCTCTAAATGTGAGACCATTCCAAAAAGAAATATTTACATATTCATCAAGACAAAAGGTAGGTAGAGTTCTGAAAAGTTACCTTATTGTAGGTATGAGTTTTGCAGTTATTTTTGTATTTCACTTTGATTTGCATTTTGTTAGAGTATTTTAAATCAGTACAGTGGCAAATAATAACTGATATTTTGTTGTGATCATTATAATTCCCTTGGCTTAACCTCACACAGTTTACACACCACATGATCAAGCAAAAATACTAGAGGCTCTCTAAATGTTGACTCAAAAGATTTCTAATGTCTTGAGGTTCTGAAGAATTTCATACTACTTTAACTGAAATATTTAATGCCTAGTTTCTGGTTATCTTAGAAGTGGTTGGATAGGTTGTATAAATCAAGGACTATTTAAAGACCAATGACTTCAGAAGCAGGAACAAGTAATAGGATCCCTTTTGTTGCTGTGGATTTTTACTTTGTAACCTCTGGATTGAATAAATAGCACTGTAATATAGTCTTGTACTTTATACAGTGTTTGTGCAAAAAACAAATATATTTTTTCACTAGACTGAGGTGTCAAGTAATCTGTGTTCATGTGCCAGGTCTGCCATTGATTTGAGAGGTAAATGTCCTCTGTGAAATCTGTGTTGATCGATACTTAATTCTAGAACGATCTCCTAAGTATCCTTCCAACTAAAATTCCTTGAATCTGCCTTTTCCCTTTCCTTTCGGCCTTAAAGAACTTATAGAGTTAATTTCTACTTTCATGTTTTTATAAACATGCTCTTGAAATATATCATTTCCTCGGAAAACAATTCATCTGTGAGTCAGCATGAAGGAAAAAACCCACTCAACAATAGATTTGAGTGGGGAGAAAACCCACTCAAAATCGCATGAGGGGGAGACTCGAGAAATGATTTTCTTTATAAACAGAAATGATGAGGTATAGAGAAACCAATCACTTATCTATAAAATGAGTGCATGGTTGAAGGCCTTCGGTAGCAGAGCTAACGTGCTAATAATATATATTTAGCATGATGGCGAGAGGACCAAGGAGCCCTCTCTATATAGCCTGAAAACTGCTATTACTATAAACGTTCCTTTCAGTGAAGGATAAATAAAATGTGTCGCGGGGTGGACGAAGCAAGGCAGGAGGGAAGCAAAGAAAGGTTAAAAGCCTCCCCTCCACCCCCAGCCACCGCCCGTCTTCCCTGGAAATACATAATTAAGGGAATTTCCTCCTGCGGCCACGGAACGTTCGGTGGCCGTCTCCACGTCATTATTCGAGCAGCCAGGGAATTTGCTTTTTCAGGCGGTGGCTTCCCCGCTCCTACTGCGGATTCCCTGTGGGACGCCGAACGTCGCCCTCCGCGGGCGAAATCGAGCGACGGGGAAACTCGCATCCCCAGCGCGGGGCGCAGCGGCCCGCAGAGGACGCAGAAGCGTCTCCTGGGTGGGCGCTGCGGCCGGGCCCGTTTCCGGAAGGCTGACTGCATCAGGTGTGGAGCTGGGCGCCTCCACGGCCCAACCTGGCCGCCACTGCGCCTGCGCGCCGCGCCCCGCCTCGCTGTCGAACACTCCACCGCGGGTTTTCCTCCCGGTCCGGAGGACACCCAGCCGAGGGGGGCGGGCGCCGTTTACTGCCCCGGGACCCTCGAGAGAGAGAGCGGGTGGCAGGGCGGGACTCCCGGTGAGCAGTGGAGAGTCCTGGGGTCCGAGCGAATACAGTGCCGCAGGAAGAGGACCTGCCCGGAAGGCTGGAGGCCGATGCAGTCTCTGCTACTGACCATCGGCGTGGTCTTGGGCTCATTTCCTCGCCTCTTTGGGCCCGAGGAACGTAGACTAGAACTAGGAGAATTTTCAGTTTGGAGTTTGCATTTTCCCCAAATGGGTTACATTTCCCAGTATGGGTCCCTGACTATCCAGGGTCCACAGGCTCGATAGGGGGAACTTGGGGTGCTGAGAGCCCCAAGGGTGAGCATTTGCATGGGTTTATAGGGATTTCTCTGTGGCAATATTGGTTTTCTGTTGAAGGAAGGAGCGACATGATTGTTGGCCTCCAGGCGGGTCGGAGGGAAATTTTGCAAAAACCGAAAGAAACTCCTTCCACAAGGCCGCTTCCTCCCACCATTAATTCTCTCCAACCCCACTCTGAATCTGCGTCAGGGTTCCATTATACACTCTTTCAAACACATCTAGTAGATTTCCCGCTAACACTCTCCATGTTTGAAATGACATTTATGAGTGATTCTTTGATGGGTGTCTGTCCACCTCGCTGGACTGGAAGCTCTATGAAGGCAGGGGTCTGAGCCTTTTTCACTGCTATCCCAGGCTAACTGTAAGACTTTGTGGATCCTCACATAATGTTCGAAGGGGTAAAGTGATGCCTGCCCCAACCGCATAGAGTCCTCGCGTGAAGAAAAAGACCAGCTGGTGTAACTTTATTATTTGAGGATGGAGTACATTCTGAGATTTGGGGATAAGGACACGTGAAGAGGAGCCATCACTTTGTTGTTGCTATTCATTTACTTTTAGCATAATCTTCCTGAAGGAGATCATAGCTAAAGCTGTGTGTATGTATAGAGTAGTGGGTCTCCAAGTGTGGTCCTCAGAACAGCATTACCAGCATCACTTGGGAGCTCGTTAGTTATATAGATGTTCGGGCCCAACCACAGACCTACTCACAGACTCGGAGTGGGACCCAGCAATCTGTGTTTCCATAAACCCTCCAAGCAATTCTGACGCAGGCTCAAGTTTGGCAATCACTCTAGGCAGTGGTTTTCAACCTTTCACAGGGGTCGCCTAAGACCATTGAAAAACACATTTTTTCCGATAGTCTTAGGAACCGAGACACCACTCCTCTGTCCGTCTCCAGGCCCACATGCAGATACACCCACGTACAAGTACCCGGCAACCCCTGTGCAAGGGTCGTTGGACCCTCAAAGGGGTCGTGACCCACAGGTTGAGAACCGCTGCTAGGGGAAGAGCAACCCTAACGATGCTTTGGGATGTCATTCAGTGTCTGGGTAGAGCACTGATTACCACTTACAGAGCACCCATTCTTATCAGGACCTTGCTTGTCTGCTTACAATTGAGTGTGCAAAGGAAATTATGCTTTTCCCCTCCCCGCAGGTGTTTCTCTCCTGAGGTGATCTTGCTGTGATTTTTCACACCAGGAAATGGTGTGGGTGTGGCATATGCCTGAGGCTCTGGATGATGAGGCAGAAGGAGGTCTTGCCTACAAGTTGCAGCTGGGAGGATGTGGGCAGCTCTCATCTGAGGACATTTTCCCATTGTAAGGGAATGCAGACATGTGGGAGAAAAGGCAAGCCAGGGATAAGGTTACCCAACTGCCTTTTGGTGCAGACACACGCCAGGCCACATGGAAGGGATACCCGGTTGCACCCCGACTCCCGGCCTTTGGGTCGCCACACTCTGGCCCCCGTTGCCTCCTTACCATCTGCGCAGACGATTCACGGACCCTGCATCGCGGATGCTCCGCAGCCTCTGCCTGCAGGGGTCGCACTAGGAGCGCGGCCCGCCCCCTCCTCCCCCGGCTCCCGCCCCCGGCCCCGCCTTTCTCCGGTTTGGTCCCCGCCGGGCGGGGCCCCTCCAGCCTCCTCGCGCAGCCTCCGCCAAAGCCTGGAGAAGTGGAATCTCGCCGGCGCCGCTCCCTGCGCGGGACTCAAGGAGCGGCACTGGGCATGCTCAGTCGCCGGAGCCCGTACTGGTCTCAAGTAGGAAGCTCGTGCGCTGCATCCGCAGCTGATCCGGGCGCTCCGCGGAGGGCGGGACTGGAGCATAGCTGCCGGGCGCCGGAGCCTAGGCGAGCGTCGCGCGAGCCGCGGGTGAGCCTTGCTTTCTTCCTTGGTTTTTCCCTGGACCTCGGGATGGCCCGGAAGTGCTGGCGAGAGACCCGGGCAGCGACAGCGGTGTGCGGCGAGTGGCTGCGAGTAGCCCGGGCGGCCGCTCCTCTCCTCCCGGCCCCGAGGGCTGCGCGGCCACTGCCACCCTCCCAGCCGCAGCCACAGCTGCAGCAGATGCCACTGCATCTGCAGCGGGCACCCGCTGCGGAGTCCCGTGCGCCTTGCGCCCTCGCCGCAGGGCCGGGTGGCACGGCGACTGCGGGCTCACTCCTTGACTTGCATCCCTCCTGCTTCCCGGCTCCCTCTTTCCTTCGGCAGCCCGGGCTTGGCAGGGCCTGGGGCGGGGGAGACAGGGTTGGAGGGGGTACGCCCGGGTGGGGGCTGCGGAGGGGAAAAGTGAGAGTGGGTGCTGACGGGGAAGAGCGCACACCCCCTTGTCCTGGCACCGGCCTCCGCTGTGCGGCTGGGCTCTCCCTCCCGTGGAGGCAGCGCGCTCTTGCCGGGGAGTTGGAGACGGGGCTGGCTTCTCGGGGATTCAGAGACCAGACTCTGTGAGATCAAAGGGGGAAAAGTTCATTTTCCCTCTCGGAGGCAGAGAGCGTTTTAACTAGAAAATGGCTGTTCGAAGGGGACCGAATCAGGAAAGCTGGCCACTGGGTCCGGAAAGCCCCTCTGCTGCCCTCCGCGCGGAATGGAGGGATGAACGCTAGAAATGACATTTGTGCGAAGAAAACATTGCTACACGGAGGGTGGGATGCGGAGTCCCATAGAAACAATGAAAGGCGGTCTCGACAATGGTTAAAGAGATAGAACAGTCAGGGGCGAAGGGCCGAGGGAGCGTGGGACTTGAATAAAAAAGTAATAAATTGGAGAGATCAAATTTAGAGTTGTGGCCGTTTTGTAGCCAAGTTCTGCGCAGTTTTTAGAGCCACTACTGTCACAAACGTTTTTGGATGGATGGGTTGGGGAGGGCTAACATTGAGAGGAGAATAAGGTCAGTGTCCGAAGCTCCAACAAGATTGGGCTCACAGTTTTGTTTAAGGAGTCCGTCAGCCACTGGCTTTACATTGCGCCTGATGACTTACTTAGGTGAAATACCTAAGGATTATTATAAAGTGATGCCAGCAGTGGTGTTTGAATTCAAAGAAATGAGAAACTTTGTGAGGCATTGGTTTGTCATTAATATTTCACTGATTTGAAAACCAAATAGTGGCATCCTGATTTGTTGTTCTGGATTTGGGTCTCTTAAATCTTTTGAATTTTTAACCCCCTTGTCATGGATTTATATTTCAAACCTTGTTCTCAGATGGCTGCATTAATTAAGAGTATCTGAATTGGTGTAGCTGGACTTGCAGGAATAGACAGAATCCTTGAGGGGGGGGTTCTTTATGAATGTAGGTAGCAGCTTTGTCATATTTTCAGTTTGTAGCTTGAAAGCAACATTTGTTCAACACTTGCTTATGCTAACTTGCAGAATCCTAGAAATGGCACTGTTTTGAAAGGATGAGATTTGTCAAGAGGATGAGGAACCTCCAAGCTGGGGGAGTTGTTGAAAGAACACAGGTGGCAGTAGAGTACAATGGGCTGGTAGTCAGAACACCAGGGGGGACAGATGCAAGATTTCTATTGCTGTCCTTTTGTCACTGGCTTACTGTGTGACCCTGAAAAATCACTCAGGGTCTTCAAAAACTGGGGATGTCCCTAGATATTTGCTCAGAGCCTTTGAGAAAGAACTCTAAAGTTGAGATCCTTTTCCAGGGAAGGTGTTTATATTCTTACACTATTATTCTCTCTTCCAAAGTTTGGACTAAGTAATTCCCTTCCACGGAGCCAGCACGATTCTACTTTCTGAAACTTTTATAAAATGGTAGTGAAAAAGCTTGATGAGCTTCAGTGTAAAAAGTCGGATGTTTTACCCTTAACTTGAATAATGTGAATATTGACCACACAATTATTGAGGAAAACACTATTAAACTTTGCAAGAAGCCACATGTACAAAGATAAAATATGTTTAAACTGTTACTCTTTTTATGTCATGTATGTTTAAACTGTTACTCTTTTTATGTCATGTTTCAACTTTTGATGACTATTTTTTGCTGCTACCAGAGAAACAATAACAAATATTGAATTCTTTTTTTTTTCTGTTACAGCAGCAATTACTACTGAAAATCTTGCCATAATATTGGAATAGTGTTATGTTGATTTCCCTGATTTCAGGATATCTAAATTTGTCTTTTAAGAAAAATACAGTGTCTCTCTATGCCTTTTTCAGTTACACTTTTAAAATAAAATACCCTGATGATATAACACCTTAAGTTCTCCAGGGGTGTAGGAAGACTTTTAGGAAAGTATAGTAAGAAGGTTTTACTAGTTTTGAGGGTGATACTTATTGTCCTACCCAGAGTTAAGAAAACTAGCATTTGTTCAGTGGTTACTATGTGTCGAGTATGATATTAAGCTCCGTACATATGTTATTTTATGTATCAGTATCTTTGACATAAATGTCAGCTACCAAAGAAAACTCCTCTGAGAAGGTAGACAGTTCTTTGCACAGCAATACAACCTCAACGTTTTATCTCATATGAGAATATTTTCAATTAGTTTCATAATTATTCATAAGCATTCTTCTGCAAAACATCTTTGATTTGTTATTTAGAATTGGATTTGATTGGAACATTTCTTCAAAATGATTTAAATGTTTTTAAGAAGCTTCCATCCAGATTTAAAACTGTTTTGTGTTTATTTTCAACAATGTTGTACTACCAACAAATAAACTTAAATGTAAGGAAGATGAACCCCGATTACACATTTTAATTTTAATGTATTATTAGTGAATATTCGTGAATATTCTGCATGTTGATATGTGTTGATGGCATTTCTCTCAGTTGAAATGGTTTGTCAGAGGCAGATTGACAGAGTCTCCACAATTAAGGGTCCAGTGGGATTTGGTGGAAAGACCACCAACCAGGGGCTCCTAAGACTTGCCTTCTGGGCAAGGCTCCTCTGCTACTTGAACTTACTGTGTGACCATGTGGAAGCCAATTCACTTCTTTGGGCCTCAGTTTTTTTCCATCTGTAAAATGTGGGAATTGCTGTAGAATGCACCCTCTGGGTGTCTGTTGGGTTCTTGTCCCAGTCCGTGGGTCTTTTATACAGCTCTTTGAGGAGGCAGGGCTTCATGTAAAGCCATTAGATGAAGGTGATTTTGTGTTTCACAAAGTCTGGCCAGTCTTGCTTTGTTGAATGCCCTTCCTTTTTTGGCCAGTTCTTACCTCCCTTTTAGTTTTTATTTGTCAAAGAATGGTTGTCATAAAATTTACTCTTTGTGGCCTGGCCAAGACTAGGTAGGAGATAAGGTAGTAATTAAATTTGGGAAAGCACATTAGATATTTGGAACTGCTTGATAGCATCTTCAGAGAGGGAGACTGTGCTCTTGGGCAATCTTGAGAAAAAAGCCCCCTCAGGGGCTGCAGAGAAGGGCATCCTGGGCCTTGGTTGCCGGGGCCACCACATGACATCTTGGCAAGCCGTTCCCATGTCCCTGTCCTCTCTTCAGCCCTTGATCAGAAATGCACCCCTTGGTCTCTGGTCTAAAATGACCATTATCACTTAATGCGAGTGCCATCATTGTATTGGGCTGGTGTCCATGGTCAGCTGCTGCAGCAGTAGGAGTGATGGCTGTCGGGATGTACCCACACATTGTTGGTAAGATCATGAACTTTTTTTTTCTTTGACAAGCTATGATGATGGGGCAGAGAGCAAAGGAAACTGATCCCATTTGGTGTTTTTAGTGTACTTTGCTTTCAAGAGGCTCACAATATGCAACCTCATTAACCTTTAAGTGAGGCAGGTAAGGAGAAGCCAGAGTTGTTATCTGCACTTAAATAGTTGATAATAAATGGATAGTTGGGCCAGCCTGGTGGCGCAGTTGGTTAAGAGCGCGAGTTCTAAGCAACAGGGTTGGCGGTTTGATTCCCACATGGGCCAGTGAGCTGCGCCTGAGCTGAGCTGCTGTTGAGCTGGTAAGAGTGCGTGCTCTTAGCAGCAGTGTTGCTGGTTCAACACCCGTATGGGATGGTGGGCTGTGCTCCCCCGCAACTATATCGAAAGCGGCGACTGGACTTGGAGCTGAGCTTGCACCCTCCACAACTAAGATCGAAGAACAACAACTTGACTTGGAGCTGATGGGTCATGGAAAAACACAATGTTACCCTTCCCCAATTCTCCAACACTGCTCCCTTCCCCAATTCCCCAATAAAATCTTTAAAAAGCAAACAAGCAAACAAAAAAACGGATAGTGAGCCTGGTGTCTGTAATCATAACCAGGCTCCAGAGTTTACTAGGCCCCTGATAGGAGTGGAGCAATAACTCTAAACCTGAGATGAGAGCTATCAGAAGGACAGAGAGGGCAGAAAGTCAAGTCATCACAGTTTGGCAAGAAGAAGCCAGGATCTGTATGAGAGGCCTTCAGGTGTCAAGTTACAGGAGACATTCTCTTTTTACATCATCTTATTTCCATAATATGTGTGTCTTACCCAGTCTTCTAAGCACTGAACAGCATTGCTTTCATCATCAGGGAAAAAGTCCCAATATATAATTTATTGATGTATAAAATATACGGATTCATATGGACAGAGATGGGAAGAGAGCATGGAAAAAAACCAAATTGTATGGAATTATGATTAAAGTATTTCTTTATTGTTTATTAATGATTTGATAGTGGTTTCAAGTATGCATCAAATGAACCAGTCTGTCCTTCTCCTCTTGTAGAAGTCTTGCAAAATTTTGTCTGCTAGGTAATAGCTAGGGTTTTGAAGTGTAATTCTACTGGAAAGTATGCTTCAGGAATGCTTAGAGTGGGAGGAATAGTGGCTCTGCTTTTTCCTTTTAAAGTTGAATGAAAAGAATGCAGTTTTGGAACTGAGCTGGAAGTGTGCGCCTTGGAGGATGAGGTTGGGGAGAACTTGAGAGGTCCAGAGAGT